AAGAAATGTCCATGAATAGCAAACTCAACCTTAAAAAGGAAAAGATAAGAGGAGAGAATCTGCTGTATCAGACATTAAATCCTACTACAAAGCACAGTAATAAAGACTGCATGGTAAAAGTCTAGGAACAGACCAATAGACCAAAGAAAACAGAATGGCAAGTTCAGAGATAAACCCTTGTATATCAACTTTAGTAGGGACTTGATATATGATAAAGCAGGCACCACAGACCAATGGAAAAAGGAAGGTTTGTTTAGTAGGCACTTCTGAGAAACTGGAGAAAAATAAAACTGGATCTCTAATATCACATATGAAAGCAGACTCTAGATGTTTTACAGACCTAGCAAAGGTAAAGTACAGCATGAGAAGAGGAAAATACAGGTGAATGTCTTTGTGACCTGCCTGGAGTGAGGGAAGGACTTCCTAAACAGAAGGCACAAACCATGAGGTAAATAATTGAAGAATTTTATTACATAAAAATTAAGGATTACTGTTAAACAATAAGAAGAATACTATGGACAAAGTTAATAAAAAGAGCACACAATGGTAAAAGATATTTGTAGTATCTAAGACCAACAGAGGATTCATTTCTAGGACCTACTAGGAATTCCTGAAAAGCAGTAAGAGACAGTAATTCCAATAGAAAAATGGCCAAAACATACAAACTGATAATTTACAGACGAGCGAAAGCCAAAAGGGCACAAAAAATATTCAAAATCATTAAGAATCAGATAAAATGAGAAAAAAAATGATACATCACTTACACTTATCAGGCTGGCCAGAAAAAAAAGAATGCTGGATAATGGAGGGCAGGGATGTGGGAAGAAAGGAACCCACGTGACTATTCATGGAGTGTGGGTGATGTAACTGAACAGAAAGAATGACAATAAATTAAATGATTATTCAATTCAAAAAGGAAGAAAATAGAAAATTTCAAAACAAAGCATCATAGTTATAAAGAAAGAAATAATGGAGACGAAAGTAGAATTTAATAAACAAAACCCAGAAAAATGTGGTATTTCTAAATAAAATCAAAAGTTATTGGAAAACATAATATGCACACAAATACACATCACTAGAAAACACGACAGCTCTATATTGGGCATGAGAAAGGGGAAATAACCTTAGAAAAAGTAGGCTTTAAAAGGGTAACAACTTACTATAAACAATTTTGTTTTATGAATTAAAAACCTGTGTGAGATGGATTGCCTTTCTACTATATAAATTACAGAAATCGACTTTAGAATTAATTCATTCAACGAATATTTACAAAATCACTAGTATGTACCAGTTTTTAAAGAAATAGTAAACCTGAATTGACGAATAACCATAGAAGAAGTGGAGGAAAAAACTTGTCAAGAATTAAATATTACATATAATGTAAGGTTTACAGTACAATAACTTATTCATTCATTCAACAAATACTTAAGTGTCTTCTAAGGTTCTTGCATTGTGCTAGGGGCTGAGGACTCAATGGTGAGTAAGATCCTTAGCTTCGTGGGTTCAAGGACCAAAAAGGAGGTAAGTGTCTGGAGCCTGATAAGACAGAGGGCAAGCAGCCTGATGAGACGGGAGTGGGTGAGGACCGGATCACGAGGGCTTCATACACATTGGAGAAAGTTTCCCTTTTATTCTGAATGCGGTGGGGGAGCAATTAAAGGGCCTCAGGAGAGTACCACAATAGGACTGTTTTTACAAAGCTCACCCAGACTGTTGTGTAAAGAAAATTTAGGGGGGCAAGAAAGGAAATGGGGAGACCAGTTGAAACGATTGAAGGAAGATGGTGGTGGGGGCTGGGGTGGTTACGATGCAGCTCAGGAGCTATGAATAAATGAGATGTGTTTTGCAGAAGGAACAAATTAAGACTTGCTGATAGAGTGGATGGAGGAGTGACAACTGACCAGGTCTGTGGCTTTCATAACCAGGCAGATGGTGGCGATCACATCTACTGAAGTAGGGGAAAGTGGTAGAGGGCCATGCTTGGGAGAAAAAACCAAGAGTTTTAATTTGGACACATTAACCTGGCTACAACTATGAGACATTCAAGGGGGTGTATCAATTTAGGCAATTGTTTTAAGAATATGGAACTCAGCAGAGATAAACATTTGGGCATCTTCATGAGAAGTAGTGCTCACAGCCAAGTGAATAAAGGGTCGAGATTCAAACTCCAGTATTCACCTAGAGCGCAGGCCTCAACACTCTTAGCCACCCAGCTTCCTGCAATACAGGTGCCAAAATCCAAAAGAAAATACTGCCAAACTGACTTTAACAGTTTAGCAAAAGAAATATACTGTGATCAATAAGTATTGTTTTAGGAATACAAGGATGGCTCAAAAATCAGGAATTCTATTAATAGGTTAAGGAGGAAAAAAACCCATAAGATTCTTTACAGATGTTGAAAAGTTTTCAATTAAAATCAACATTCCTGATTTTTTAAGTTTAAGCTGTTAAAAAAAGGTTTCTATAGAACTAGAAGGATAGTTCCTTTACATCATTAAGAATCAGTATCACATAGGGCCGGCCCCGTGGCTTAGCGGTTAAGTGCTCGAGCTCCGCTACTGGCGGCCCGGGTTCGGATCCCGGGCGCGCACCAACGCACCGCTTCTCCGGCCATGCTGAGGCCGCATCCCACATACAGCAACTAGAAGGATGTGCAACTATGACATACAACTATCTACTGGGGCTTTGGGGAAGGAAAAAAGGAGGAGGATTGGCAATAGATGTTAGCTCAGAGCCAGTCTTCCTCAGCAAAAAAAAGAGGAGGATTAGCATAGATGTTAGCTCAGGGCTGATCTTCCTCACACACACAAAAAACAATCAGTATCACAAACACAGCCCACACCCTATGTTAACTGAAAGAGGAAAGGCATTCCTATTAATGTAGTGAACAAGACAAGAATGTAAGCAATCACTGTTATTTTAGATTGTTCTGGCAGTTCTAGCTAGGAATAATTTTCTTTTTTGTTTTTTCTGTGAGGAAGATTGGCCCTGCGCTAACATCTGTTGCCAATCTTCCTCTTTTTCTTTTGTCACCCCAAAGCCCCAGTACATAGTTGTGTATTACAGTTATAGAGTTGTAGCTCTTCTATGTGGGATGCCACCACAGCATGGCTTGATGAGTGGTGAGTAGGTCCACGCCCAGGATCAAACCCGGGAACTGCCACCTGCCAGGACGGCCCCTAGCTAGGTATAATTTTCTATCTGGAAAATCCAGGAAAGTCATCCAAAAATGTCTTAGAATAAATAAGAGAGCTCATTCGGGTGGCCGTTTTTGAAACGACTATATAAAAAAACCAGTGAGTCCCCAAATCAGTTGTAATTATTTATAAGGTTTAGTGTGGAAAAAACATTCCATTCACAAGGGAAATAAAAAATTCAAAATATCTAGGATTTAACCAAAAAATAAATAGTAGGACTCATAGGAGGAAAGCTATAATATTTTACTGAGAAACATAAAGGAAGACTTTTGGAAAAAAGAGAAAGGTGTACAGTTTTGGTTGGGAAAACCAATGTTGAAAGATACCAACTCACCTGCAAATAATCCATAAAGTCAACACAATCTCAGTCACAATTCAAAGGAGATTTTAAAGAACGAGCTACTCAAAATGATACTCAAAATTAAGAATACTGGAGAAATTATTGAACCGGAAGAAAATCTAGGGCATACTTGGCCTGCTAGGTATTAGAATGCAATGTAACACTACAATAAGTTCATGTACACTGGCTCGTGAGCAGAATGGCAGAGCAATGGAACTAGAAAGAAGGTACAAAAAAAGATCCGTAGATTACCCCATTCATCCTATTCCCATTTATACATGGGGACTGAGAGTAGGAATTCTCAGCTCTGGTAGGAACTTGCCCAACCGTCGTGTTCCAGGAGCCAAACTTCGGATACTCAGAACATGTCACCACTTGAAACTTAATTGGTGAAATCCAGAAGTGGCACCAAACAGCCCCCTGCACCCTCCACTGCCCCCTTCTAGGGGAAATTTCCTGTCTTTCCCAAGCTAAATAGAATTCATTTGTCATATTTTAATCTTTTCGAGATCATTGCCCCTTAAAGAATCTGATGCAGGCTATACAAAATTTTGCAAAACATTTTGGGGTGGGGGTTTTCACTGGTACCCTGAGGCCCAGCCCTGGATTGAACAGGGCAAAGGACCCCAACCTGGCCCATCATCAGAATGACCTGATGGTGCTTTTAAAAAACACTGCTGGAGCCTATCCAGGCCAACAGCCTGGAAGTGTCTATCGAGGGCTTTGGGAATCTATAAAAGCTTCCCAGGAAATTGCACTCCTAGCTATGCTTCAGAGCTAAGTCCTCAAAAGTGCAACACTTAACATTCATAATGCTTTTCATAAAAGGGTACACCTCCCTCGGAGTGATCACACAATATTTTGACAGTAATAAGCAGAATATAATAGGAGAAAAAGGATTAAGAAACGGGGAAAAAAATTCTCCTGACTGTAAGCACTGCTGCACACACTAGTCACCCAAGGATTATTTTATAACACTTCGGCCATCACCGGGTTAGATACAGGCACGTCGTGAATGTTTAATACGTACAGTTCACAGCTGATATAGTTGCCTTAGAAGAGGAAATAAGATCCGAAAAGGGAGAATGAAACAGGTAAGTTAAAACTACAGTGCTTAGAAAACCTTTCACCTCATAATGCCTTTCGTCAGTTGATTGACAGTCACCTTCAGCGTTAATTTGGTGCAGAAATGTTTATGTTATTTTTGTTTTATTTTATTATTTTAAAATGGTTGCTTCCTTACATAATTCAGCATGATTCTGGAGAAAGCTGTGGCCCTTTCTTCGCAAAATGAAGCTGATTTTACAGAAAAGGATGATGCAATAGGTGTGAATTACACATATAGACCCAAGTGGCCTCCAGAGCAGCAGCCTGTAATCGCAGCCTTTCCAGACCCTTATTTTCTGGTGCAGTTGGGTACTTTCAACCATCATAAGACCAAAGAGATTCCACAGGGTACGTACATCTGTTGTGGCTCAGCTAAGCTGGATTTGCGTCTCTGGGAAGACAGAATGCTTGGGCCTGGGTGAAACTGTTCAGTTTTCAAATATATTCAGGAGTCCTTAAAAACAACAAAAAAGAAAAAACTAGAATTGATAAAAAAATCTAAGAACAGCTTCTTTAAAAGAAAAACCTAACATATAAATTACTAAACCAAACTAATAAACTAAACTAAATAAATAAATCTATTCAAGAAAAAAATGAGACAATATTTGAAAAAAGAAATGAGGTCAGCTAAAAAAGTAGCAGCAAACCTAACACTGAGCTCACCCTCTTTCACACCCAGAAAACTGAGTGCATTTCACCGAAAAAACTGAGACGGGTGAACTATTTAAAAAATTACATTCTTTAGAAAAGCAATACTTCAACAAAAAGAAAATTAACATCACCTGTAATTTCTATTAAAACTTCATTTTTATTCTATTAAATTTCATTTTTTTGTGCTTTTCCTTTCAGAGCATTCACACACGCATTCAGGTCTGAGTAAGTAGATCCGGTCTAGTAATTTGCACGTTGACTTGTCAGTTTTTTCCCATATATCAGGCTCAAAATCATGACTTTTAATGGTTACATAATACTCCTTTCAGTTAATGTGTCATGATTCTCTTAGCTGCTGCCCTGCTGTTATACACTTAGGTTGTTTCCCAGGTGAGTCTAATTTTAGATCATTCTGCCTGGCATATGTGCCTGCATATGGCTCTTTTTTTTCTTGTTTGTTTCTTCCATTGCTGGTAAATTCCCAGGAGTGGGTTTTCTGGGTCATGGTGTTCTAACTTCTTAACAAATCCACCAGATTGCTTTACAAGAAATTTGCACTGATTCACAATGTCCCCACTGGGATGTGACTAGGAAAAGAAAAAACGTATACATCCAAGGGTTCATTTTACATAGATGGTTAAAATTAATCTTGGGAACAAACTCCGGAAGTAGGTATCATTACCTCTATTTTATGAATGGACAAAAAGAGGATTAGGAAAGTAGGTGACCTGTTCAAAGTCGCAAAGTTAGTTGCAGAGCCATCTTTCTAACCCCAAAGCCCTGCCACCTCCCCAGATAACGGAATATGCGTTTCAGGGCAACTTTCCAACAGCAGTTGCTGTTACTATTACTATTGCTGTTTTTGTTAATAGATGTAAAACCATAACCCAGACTTCCTTCAGTTTGTATTTTATTTTCTAAATGATTCGTTTCACCATTTATCTACTATAATCTTGATATTTTCCTTTCACAAGAATGAAAAACTTGTGTCAGATACAAATAATATGCAAATCACAGAAAGCTCTCTGCTTTCTTTCCTTTTCTGGTTAGTCCTTTTTCATTGTAAGAGCTTCTCAGTGTTTGTGTAAGAAAAATTGTTCCTTTTCATTGGTGATTTTTTTCTTTCTTCTTCAAATCTGAGAGCGTTCTTAATTCTCCAGAGGTCTGGCATTTTTATTCAATTTCCAGTCCTATTTTTTTCTGACAATTTGATTTGTAAAAATCTTTAATCCTATTCTACCTGGAGTTTTTCGTAAGCAAAAGGGAAACATCTCAAATGTTTAGCACGTGGGGGGAACTGCTTATTAAACTGTGATGCTCTAAGTTCAAGGAGATAGAGCGGCCATGGGATAATCGTGATCAGGGCGGTATAACTGCATTGTGTTGTGTACGAATCTGGAGACGAGGAGACTGAAAACCAGAAAGCAGTGGCTTTGAGATGGTGAGGGTGGATGTGACGGTGGTGGGTTTACGATTTTAAAAATCTGTTTGCTACAACTACTACAAACAGAAAAGAAAAAACCGAAAAGGACAGTGAGAATGGCTTTCTCCCCATTGTGTAAACAAACGTGAAGGCGCCTCCCGCACAGGTGGGGGAGGCTGGTTCTCCGAGCGGCATCCCCACCCCCCCCACCCCTCCCTGGGAGCCCCCTGAGACTGCGTTCTGTCCTTCCAGAGGGACAGGAAAGAAGGCGAAAAGCGAAGCCTGCAGGTCAGCCACACCTGGGGCCGGCAGGAGACCCTCTGTCCCGGCGGCCTGGACGCCCCAGGCCGGGAAGTGCAGGGGGAGGCCGCCGGAGACCCCTCCCCGCAGAGGCCCGGTGCCAGGCGGCGGCCTCCTCAGGGACAGCCCTGACTGCGTGGAGCCAGGCGGGGCCACCTCCTGGGACGAGCGCGGCGGCGGCCCCCAGGCGCCCCGGGACTCCTTCCCCGCGGAGGCCCTGGCCCCG